GAAGAGTCGAGTCCGGGCCAGGCGTAGTCTCGGAGTACGAGGGCTTGGGTCTTGTTCTGACCCCAGTGTCTGCGGTCGGGTGGTCGTGACAGGCCCGAAGAACTCGGAGGCGGAGTTCCTCGGAGTTCGGGACGTAGATCCGGCCGTTGAGGAGGACAAAACCCGCGTCGTCCTTTGACCAGCGTGGGTTACCTTTGGAGGCGTATTGCAAGGCTGCGGCGAGTTCGGGGTCGGGATTCGGGATGGAAGTCGCGGAGAGAATGTCTGCGCGGAGTTGTTGGTCGTCGAGGAGGTAAGAGGCTCGGAGAACCGGTTCTCGGAGTATCGTCGCTCGGAGTGAGGCTGCGAGTTGCTCCTGGGTGAAAACTGGTCGGAAGTTGTGTGGGTTGACGACGGAGTAGTCACTATCCCCCTCTTTTGGGTAGACATCCCAACGGCGCGTGAGTGCGTCGGGTTTTGCGCCTAACCGTCCGGGGCGGAATCGGATTACGAGGTTGAACTGGGACAGGAACTCCGACCACCGGGCTTGCCGGCGGGTCAGGAGTTTGGTGGTGGCGAAGTACTCCAGGTTCTTGTGGTCCGTAACGACGTCTACCGGAGTCGGAGATCCTTCGAGGTAGTGCCGCCAGGACTTGAACGACTCGAAGATCGCCAGGAGTTCCTTATCGTGAGTGTCGTAGTTCAACTCCGCGCCGGTGAGAGTGCGGGAATGGAAAGCGACGGGGTGGAGTTCGCCGGACTCCGAGGTAATGGAGAGGATTCCGGCGATGGCGTAGTCCGAGGCGTCGGTTTCGACAGTCAGAGGGCGGTCCGGCTCCCAGTGTCGGAGTACCGGAGCAGCGGTGAAGGCTTGCTTGAGAGCGTTGAAGGCCTTCCGGCAGTCCTCGGAGAAAACCCACGGAACGGACTTCCGAGTTAGGCGGGTGAGAGGTACGACGATCTCGGAGTAGTTGTGGATGAAACGCCGGTAGAAGTTAGCGAAGCCCAGAAACGACTGAACGTCTCGGACTTTGCGGGGTTCCGGCCACTCCAGGATCGCGCGGACCTTGGACTCCGCCATGGTGAGTCCGTCGGGGCCGAGGATGTAGCCGAGGTACTCGACGGAGTCGGCGTGGAACTCGCACTTGTCGGCGCGAGCGTAGAGTTTGTGCTTTCGGAGGCGTCGGAGTACCTCTTTGACGTGTTTCGGGTGGTCCTCGGGGTTGTCGGAGTAGACGAGGATATCGTCTAAGTAGACGACCGCTGTGACGTCGAGGAGGTCCGCAAACACCTCGTTCACGAAGCGTTGAAAAGCCGCGGGGGCGTTGGAAAGTCCGAACGGCATCACGAGCCACTCGAAAGATCTGTAGCGCGTGCGGAAAGCCGTCTTCCACTCATCTCCGGGGGCGATCCGGACTAGGTTGTAGGCGTGTCGGAGGTCGATTTTGGTGTAAATCCGGGCCTTCCGAGGCGTGTCCAGGAGGTCCGAGATGAGCGGAAGCGGGTAGCGGTCCTTCCGGGTGATCTTATTCAAACCCCGGTAGTCCACGCAGAGACGGAGAGAGCCGTCCTTCTTCTTGACGAAGAGGACCGGAGCTCCGCAGGGGGAGTTCGACGGGCGAATGAACCCCGAGCGGAGGTTCTCGTCGATGTACTTGCGGAGGGTGTCCAGCTCGAGCTTGGAAAGCGAGTAGATCGGGCCGAGAGGCGGAACTCCGCCGTCCTCGAGGGTGATTTTGAGGTCGTACGGGCGGTGTTCCGGCAGAATGTCCGCCTGCGACTTGCTGAAGACGTCCGCAAACTCGTGGTACTCCTCCGGAATTCCGGAGAGGTCTGGGGGAGCTTCCGAGATGGACGAGCTCCGAGCGAAGGCAGAGTCGGACGAGGCCAGATTGAGCGTGAAACTCTCGGAGCCGGGGATCTTGCAGGCGCGTGCGAACGCGGCGGCGTTGATCAGGGAGACCCGGGGTCCGGTCGGGGAGGTCGGAGGCAGAGGGCCCGGGATGTCCTCTGGAAGGCTCAGAGTCGGAGTTGACTCCCGAGCGGGTTCGGAAGGGGGACGAGTCGTCGGCGCGGTCCGGAATTGGATGCTACGCTTCTTCCAGTCAATCAGCGGATTGTAGTCGGAGAGCCAGCTGTATCCCAGTACGGCGGAGACGGACTTGTCAAGCGGGGTGACATAAAAGTCGACAGAGATGACCTCTCCCGAGGGAAAATGCAGAGGTAAATTGACAGTCCTAGTAATAATCTGGTTGGACGTGCCATCGAAGAGCTGAAGACGTATCGGAGAAATGGAAACGGTCGGAATTCCGTGCTTCTTCGTGAACTCGGAGTCCACGAAGCAATGCGAGGAACCGGAGTCTATGAGGGTACGGAACGGAGTGGGAACGGAGTCGGAGAAGAGATCGATATGGAGAGACATGGGGTCGGAAAGAGCGGACGCGTTGAGTCGGAGGCAGGTCTCCGCGCCGGAGAAGTCAACGCAATCCTCCGAGGGCGCGGAGTTTGGAGGACTGCAGACTAGTTTTTTGGCTCCGCGGGAGCCTCAACTTGCGCTCCTCCGGCCGGAGCTGGCGCGGCCTTGGCCTGCGCGGCTCGGCCTTTGGCGGCGGAGGAGGACTTCTTCGGGCACGCGTTGGCCGAATGTCCGGCACCTCCGCAGAACAGGCAGAGGTTGTTGGTGAACCGCCGCTGACGTTCCTCGGCCGTCAACTTGCCGTCCTTGCCCAGCTTGTCGGCGTAGGGCTTGGCCGGAGTCTTGGCCGCCTGCTTGTGGCCGGAAGAGGAGGTCGCTTTCGGGGTTCCGGAGTTGGAGGACCCGGAGTTGGAGGTGGAAGGCTTGGATGACTGCTGCGGCTTCGAGTCCGAGGAGCCGGACTTCCCTGCGGACTTAGAGGTCCCGGAGTCCCGGCTTTGCTCGGTCTTGCGCTCCCAGTACCGGTTGTCGATAGACTGGGCCAAGTCGCGAAGCCCGACGAGCGTCGTAGGCTTTCCGACCTCCGAAATCCGGTCCTTCAGACGGTTCGGAAGACCGTCATAGAAACGGTAGCG